TCATTACTATTCATATAAATAACATTAGGGCTTAAATAATTCCTGAATAAAAAAATCGAATATCGAACATTAGTTGGCTTGTGGTCTTTGAGTCGTCGTCTTCTCCGAGTATGACGACTTTTTCACCCTTCACGTGCGCACCAGGTACATTGAATCATATGTAATATAATTAATTAAATAACGAGCCTTGTATAATTAAATTTCTTTCCTGATTAAGTATCTAATTAAAATTCTTTTGTTTTGGTGTTTTAATATAGGCAATTCCCAAAGAACCAAAAAAAAACAGAGAGAGAAAGAAATTCCGTTTCGTCTCCTCTCCCTCTAATCATTTCTTTAAAAATATTTTAAAACCTATATATATATTTTATTTCCCATCTACAGTTCTTAGTCTCTCCCATAAACGCGGAATTTATCTCACGAATTTATTTCTTTTGACATGAAATTCAACTTCAATCTTTGAATCTCTTTAAATTCTTAACTATATATTTTTGTTTTCTTTTGTGTTGAACTATGTCGTGCAAGATGCTTCGCTGCATATTTGAGGTGAAATTTATGCTGTTTTTGTCTTTAATTCAAACTTGAACTTTGCTCAGAACTTGCACACATTTTATTGGAGAATTATTTACGAGTTTTCATTCAATAATATCGAATCATTCTATGAAGAGTAAGCCCCGGCGTTTTCTTTTTATTAATGAAAGTTTAAGATAGTACTGTGACATTAAATGAGTGGTAAAAATAAAACGAAATTTTTTTTTACATGATATATAGATATGATTATATATAGTATTGCTTATATACATGATTATATCTCATTAGTAAAGGGATAAGGATAAGTTAAACTCTCTCACACACCAGGATGATTAGAAACTATAATTCATAAAAAAAATTAAAATGAATTAATAATTATAAATTATGAACTTAATTTATTTCTGGACGGAGGTAACATATAGGGTGTATAGATATTATAAAGATGAGGGGGATTAGCGTAGAGATTTTATATTGACGCCTCATGATGAAAATATTTATCATTATATATGATGTGGCATACTATATATTATAATATTTTATGTGTATTTTTTTTGGTAAAGTATTTTATGTATATTTTAATAAATAAACATTCTTGTTTTAAAATTTTAGCATTTGAAGGTTAAGGTCAGGTCATTCGGCTTGTTGACAATAATTGATCTCTTGAATATTACCGAAATTAAAATTAAATTACGTGGCACATTCTTAAATTTTAAAATAACAATGGGTACATCTATGAGTAACCTAAATGTCGAAAGTGAAGACATGCACGAGGATTATATTAAACTACTCAGATGCCTGACTTTGTATTATTCAAATGATTACATTATATTCCACTGCTGTAATAAAGCATTCTTATTCTTGCTAGCTAATCATGATAGAATGTACTATGTGTCCCCTTATTCTTGATCAACCCATAGCACTTCAATATATATATATATATATATATATATAAATAAAACTGGCACCTGATGATCTGCACATGAAAATGAAAGCCAAAATGGGATGGAAGTCAGACATTAAAACAGAGAAGAAGAACAAAATAAACTATTACGAGGCAAGCAGCTGATTAATTAATTAGGATCTCTTGGCATTTTGGAGTAAGGTTACTTCGCAAGAAGGATGATAAATTAAAAGGCTGAATATGTATAGGCACTTAAATTACTACAAAATTCTTTATACATATAGCAAACATTTGAAAGTTGATTCATTTATATTACAACCCAAACCTATATATGTGTGTGTGTGTGTCAATAACTTGTTTGAAAATTCATTTTCATATGTCATGTTCAAATTAAACTAATAACAAGCATAAAATTTAGCCTTCACGAAAAACTCATGAAAGATTTAATTTGGAGCTTGTATTGGAAACCAAGAACTTATTAATAAATATTAAAAGTAACACATCACTCATGAGTTTTTCCCACTGAAGAGGATGATTTATATGAATAAATAAAGGAGTAAATGTGTGTGTGTGTGGGGTTGTGTGTGTGAATTACCTGAAAATGAAATTGAAAAGAGTCAACGACGGGAACGGACATCCTGACCCTTAGGGATATTAGTGGGAGGTTTTATATTGTTGGGACCCTGTGTCTGACTGCCATCAGAAGGTGGGGGACGGACAGTCTGACCATTAGGAACGTCAGTGGAAGGTCTTATATTGTTGGGAGAATTCATGCTGCTCCTCTTCTTCTTCTTCTTCTTCTTCTTCTTCTTCTTCAAGAGATTGCTTGTAATTTGATAATCAGATTGCTAGCTAGGGTTTGCAGTATTGAAACTCATGAATCAGATATGCGTATGTGTGTGGGTATATATACTATTCAGTCAAGGTATCATATGATCCATGTTGGTTGATGAAAAGTGTGAGAAAGTTAAGGAAATGGGAATAATGAGGTAATTAACCAAGTGATTGTTGGGGAAATTTATATGCAAATACATGATCAATTACTGCCTAGCACTCTGAACTTACGTTTCGGAATTGAACTTTGAAACTTACATGTGCGATTAAGGTTAATATTGCGGGTCGTCTTAAGATGAGCCTTCTTCACCACCGTGTCTGACCACTTCAACTTCAAATCTTCACTTGCATTATGAATTACGTTAGTTTTTGAATCATATTTACAGCATACTGTAATTAATTAATCTCATGCTCGAAGTTCTTATCTATATATTTTGGGATGTTTCATGTTTATTAGCTTTTCGTTATGTGCTTGTGGCACCCCATTTAATACTCTTTCGATTTTAAATATAAGACCCTTATATAATGTATACAAGGGTCTTATATTTAGGATCAGAGGAATACTTTCCAGTTTCACTCATCAATTATAATATGATATAATTTCTCCATTATTGTATGCAAGGGTCTCATATTTAGGACCGGAGGAGTACTTTCCAGTTTCACTCATCAATTATATTATGATATAATTTCTCTGTTATTCTGTTTTATTCTCTCCCCCTGAACATGTAATTAGTTTATTTCATTTAACGTGTGAAATTCAACCTCATTCTTTGACTGTTTATTGGCAATTTATACCAAATTATTTCTCAATTCTTTTGTGGGATCACATATATGCAGCGCAAGACGCTTCATTTCATTCATGGGTGAAATTTCAGCTGTTTTTGAAAAATTCAATAGTTGAATAAATTTAAATTAGATTTGCGTGCATACTGATGAGATATATGTAACTTATTGGAAATTGGCAAGGAAGATGGCAAGCTATTCATATACGGACAAACGATATATATTCACAATATATATGTGTGTGTGTGTGTACACTGATAAGATCAAAGTTCAATTCATAATGAAATTTCATTGATTAATTTACTTAATTCAATGAAAAATCTTTATAATTAAAGGCATCAATATGGGCACGGCAAGAAAATTTATCTCGCACTATATATCAGAAGAGGATTTACGCGCATTTTCTTTAATAAATTACGAGATATTGCTGGCCTATCTCCTGATATTGTTTTATAGCGTTGGCAAAAAATATATAAATTGTTTTATAGCATTCGAATTTTGCCCGCATTTTTATTCGATTTTTTCAGCCCTCATTTATGGAACACACACATTGAATCATATGTAACAAACCTACGTTATTAATTAATATCTTACCATAATTAAGTCTCTAATCAAACTGCTCATGTTTTGGTCTATTAATACAACGAATTGAATTATATTCCCTTTCGTCTCTCTCTAATCCTTTTAAGAATATTTTACCAAACCTCTGAACTTTTCTTCTCAATTCTGATTAAGTTGGCCCATCCATTCTTCATATATTCATTCATGTTTTTAAAATAATTGACTTCTTGCTTCCTTCTTCCTTTTTTATTTCTAGGTTCTATTTTATTTTTCTTCTCCAGTGCTTTCATGATCTCCCATGAACATAGAATTGACCTAATTAGTTTTTTCCCGTTTAACATGAAATTGAACTTCAGTCTTTGACTCTTTTTGTTAGCTATTCAATTCTAAATTTACTACATTTTTCCCCTTTCGTGCCGAATTATGCCGTGCAAGATGCTTCGTTCCATTTGAGGTGAAATTTATGCTGTTTTTCTTTTTAATTCAACTTGAACTTTGCTCAGACTTTGCTTACATTTTATTGGGGAATCGTTTACGATTTTTTTTCCTAGGCACATATATCATATAGGAAGCAATCATGTTCAAAGCATTAAATATGGGCACTTCTCTCAGTAAAAATCACACTTTGATTCTTCATATTATGAGAAACTAGTTTCTTCTATTAGACCTATCTCTGTTAATGCTAGTAATTTGTTCAAAGGTAAAGAAAACTTGGATTCATATATTAGTAATTTAGTAGCCTCCTAAACATTTCCCAACTATTAAGGAAGCTTGTTTAAAAAAAATTGATAAACATGTGAAATAGGTATATAAGACTAGTATTAATTTTCCAATTAGATCCTACATTAAAACCTAAATGAGTATATTTTAAAATTGGAGTATATAATTTTGTTATTTAAATCAACCTTCACACTTTCCAAACATTGAATTTAATTTGATGTGACGTAATGCTGATATGGTAACGAAATATTAATTACCTGATGTTACAATTACTTGCAAATAATAAAGAAAGTGGTCCAAATTAGGTTTTCCTAATGTGAAACATATTCTCAATTGAACCCATTCTTCTTCCATGAAAGACTTTGCTGAACGTAACTTTGAACCAAATACATGTGTTAGTAACATCATAAATAGGCAATAGTGCAGTAATAATCTGATTATAATAATAAATTCCGGCTATTATGTTTATATTGTCCATTTATCAACTCTCTTCTCAACCATTGGATCGGAGAATATTGAGAGGCCTCATTTCATGTGAAGTAGTCCAATATTGACTTCCCACGCATAACTAAATTTCTAGGAACGTCATAATTCTTCATTATATATTTTCATGTATGAAAAAGGACTAATGTTTTCACAAGAAGGGTTAATTATTAAATAAATGGAGCATGATATGAACAGCTTGATCGATGTCTGAATTAAAACGAATACAAAGGTTTGAACATTGAACATAGACGATTCAGATTAATTAAAGCTTGATCGTGTGGGTCCCAATTCTTGTTCAACATATAAAATCTTCACCATGTGTGATGACTTCAAACTTCCCGGACCGTGGAATATTGAATCATACAGGGAAGTGTAATTTACGGGTGTTTTCTTTTTATCTTTATTTTTTCGTCTTATATATATATTCAAGTTAATTAAATGTAAAATTTAAGTAATATACTAGTTAGTTGGATCTAATCAACCTACACTTTTCTCAACTCTTCTTTCATTAAATACGAACATAGTACTGAAAAACGCATGACCTTAATTAACTTCTGTTGAAATTCAAGGTATCTTCATTTATTTTTTTAAAAAAAATTTAAGAATTTAGGTGTAATCTTGGTCGTTGCCAAAGGTCAACTAGATTTCATACAAATGTATAGCGTACCGTACTCCATTTTTCAATCAACAAAAAAAAAAATCAAGGCCAACTAAAATCTTGAATTATGAAACATGTTTGCAAGGGGAAAATGACATATAGGTCCAAGTTAGGATACAAAATGGCACTTTGAAGCATTGGAATTTTAAAATAACGCATTTTGGATCCAATAATGCACACGCAAAAATTTTCCCTTTCTCTCCGCCAAATTGGTGAAACAAGGAAAGCCCAACAAATTAAATCACCTATATTAATAATGGACATCGATTTTTAGATGTAGGAAGGGGTGGTTGATATATAAATTTGCAGAGGAAATTATATTTTAATTTCTTAAATGATTTATGAAAACACAGCGTGCGGAATTAATCTACATATGTGGCTTACTATTGTTATGCGTATTTTAACAAATAAGCATTCTTGTTTTGATAATTTGGGATTTGAAGATTAAGGTCATATCATGCCACTTGTTTACAATAATTTATCTCTTGAATTTTACCGAAATTTAAATTAAATTACGCAGCACATTCATTAATTTTAATAATGTAATAGCAATGGTTAGTTACTTCTAAGAGTACATGTCAAGAGTGAAGACATGCACGAAGGTGAAACTACTCAGACACTTGACTTTGTATATTATTTATGGGAAGCAACAAGAACAACAAATCATTTCTAGACGCAAAACAAAACCAAAAAAAAAAAGTTGAATAATATTTCTAATAGTATTCTTATTCTTCCTAGCTATGTAATTACGATAGAACTGCGCTATAATATTTTGCTTCCCTTATTCTTTTATCAAGACCGGCACTTGATGATCATCTGCAAGAAAATAAAAACCAGAATGAGATTGAAGGCAGACATTAATACTAAAAAGATGAATAACAACATTGTTACAAGACATGGCTGATTTATGAAATAAAAGGTAATAAGTATCCATATGAGCAAAGTTTTGTCTCAACTTACATAAAAATACTTATAAGTATTTAAGATAATCAGATATAAACAAGATTTAATTAGGATCTCTTCGCACTTTGGAGTAAGGTTAATTAGAAGAAGGATGTGAATCCAAAAAGGCTGTTTATATAGGCACTTAAATTACTACAAAATTCTTTAATAATATACGGATATGTGAAAGTTAATTCATTTATTACAACGCAAACTCTGTGTGTGTGAAGGACCTATTTTTCATACGTCATGTTCAAATTAAATTTAAGAACCTAATAATAAGAATCAAATTTAGCCTTCATGGCAAGCTCATCATGAAGATTTGATTTGGAGGTCTTGAATTTGAAACCAAGAATTGATTCAAAAAATTAAATGAACGCATAATTCATCAGTTTTTCCTAATGGAAAGAATGATTTATATGAATAAGGAAAGGAATAAATGTAGATGAACCTGAAAATGAAATGAAGAGAGTCATGGTGCTCGACCAGGGGGGGACCTGACATCTTGACCCTTAGGGATTGAAGTGCCGCCTCTTATGTTGGAGCCCTGAGTCTGAGTGCCAGATGCTGTAGGGTTTCCCTGATTTGGGCTGAAGATACCCTTATTATCAGGAACTGATGTGCCATTTCTTATATTATTGGAGTCCTGTGGTCGAGAGCTCATACTACTCCTTCCTTCACAAAGCTAAGCTGCTTCTTCTTCTTCAAAAAATTGCTTATAATTTGATGAGCAAATGGCTAGGGTTTGCTGTGAAACCCATCAGATACCTGGATTTATATGCATATATGGCGAGTCAAGCTAGGTATCCATGTTTGTTGATGAAAAGTGTGGGAAAATTAAAGGAAATGGGTATATATGATGAGGTAATTAATAATCAA